CTCTCTCTCCCCCTCTCTCTCCCTCTCTCCCTCTCTCTCTTTCTCTCTCTCTCTCTTTCTCTCTCTCTCTCTCTCTCTATCGTCCACACTATCACAGCACGCCACTCTGTTTACTACTGTTTTATAGTTCATAAATATCCACTTCTAATTGTTCTGCTATCTGTCGTCCTGTGATAGGAATGAATTGTTGTTGCTTAAGATTCTAGGACGTTTGAATAACCAATGCCAAGCGGTGGCCCTTGACCCGCTTAAATAAACAAAGGCCTTTGTTGTTTCTCTGTGTATGTATGTAGTATGTATGTGTGCGTGAGAAGGACGGGGGGGAGGGGGGGGCACGAGGGACGATTCAATATAAAATGGGCGTGTCTTCTATTGGCGAAGGACATTACGCATGAGACGTATGATAAGTTCACACGTGAACAGATGCGCATATGTCGATCCATAGCTTTGTTTGCGATTTCCAATGCCGTGATTCATTACCGGTACATGTATAATAAATATGTGGTGTAATGGTTGGGCCTTTCTCCGTAGCACGCGCAAGACTTGAGTTCGAATCCCACGTGGGGGTGTAATTCTAATTTCAAGAATCGAGTATGATCTCCGTCAGTCTGCAGGGGTGGTGTTTCCTCACTGTACGGCCTGGGCTGGTCTTTACTGGCTGTGGTTCGAAGCGCGCCTATAGGGAGGTAAAAATCACACACACACACACGCACACACTCGCGCGCGCGCGCACGCACACACAAACACGAGTGCGAGCACGCATACATACACTCTCGCACTTTTTGTTTGTACATTTCGTTCCGGGGCGTCCACACAAACATAGAAAGGCACTCTCACTTCACGCTTGTTACATTTTCCCAGGTTGGTCACAAACAATGTGATAGCGTTGTTTTTGTCTGTCAGTCAGTCAGTCAGTCAGTCAGTCAGTCAGTCAGTCAGGGAAGGTATGTGTGAAGGGGGAGGGGCGAACTTACATGTTGTGTATGTGTGCGTGTGTGTGTGCACGCACGCACGCAGGTGCGCTTTGAGCGTGTTTCTGCGAATGTGTTTCCATGCTTATGTGTACTTTATCTCAAATTTATCTTCATCTTGTACTAAAAGGGAC